AACGACGAATACGGCGGCCCCCAGCAGCACATGTTGGCTCATGATGATAGCGATCTGCCCACTTCTCTTGGGTCCTCCCACCACTATGCACTGCTGCTTCTCGGAAAAGCTTCGACGGCCCATTGGTATCTCTTAGCTTAGCAGGAAGATTTGTGGACTATCGAGGACGAAGATGTAGGAGGCAGCGCCAGAAGGGCGCAGGATTACGATGGTAAATGGAATAAGGCAACATCTCTCACATGTTCGTGTCAGATACCAGGTGGCAGTCAAGGCGGCTGGTAAGACTCAGAGTTGTACGAACAAATTCCATACCCAGCCGCCTCGCGTGAGCGCGGAGAGGGGGTTGAGTGCCTGCAGGAAGCATTCCCTTTCTGGAGAAGTGGCTGGTGAGGAATGTAGACGACCATCTCAGTCATGACTGCCATCTCGAGCTCGAGCTGGTCAGGAGATACGGCTGCCCAAACCAAACGCACAGTGATCACGATATGTGCTGTCCGTGTTTCACCACGTGAAGACTGCTGACGAAGATTCGGGCTTGCAGTGCTTACCTGGTGGATCATGCTGTCGAGTGGCCATGCAGTTCAACGACTCCATAACACCAATAATACCAGTGAGCGGCGCTGGAAGGCTGCCATCTCCATGGTCAGCAGTGGGAGTAGTTATGGTGCCATGACTCACGGTCCCAAGCTGCTGTAAGTTCGAAGAGCTAGTTGAGTGTTGGTACGCGGCCCTGATGGATAAGTGTGGTCGCGCTCGACTACTTCGACTCATCTTTCCTGATGCTAATGCTGTTGGTGTTATCGAATTGTCGTGAAGATTGGCGTTCGAGGGTCGACAACGTTCTCGCGTCGGTACTTGAGTATTAGGTGCTTTAGAAGAGGCTACAGTGCTTACGGCATGCGGTGCTTGCAAGTACGTAGTCTTCCGAGATGGATACAGTATCCACTGAGCATCGAAAGGGCAGATATCGTGAGAGGTCCAATATTGCTATACCGCTGCCAGGTAGGAGTTACCGTACCTATGCCCTTTCTGAAAGATTGATGGAGGAGCCGAGTCCGGAGGCCGGCAGAGAGAAGACCGAGATGCCCTGTGCGTTCATGCTCTCCGATAACGGTCTAGCCTGGTGGACCCTTTTGGCGCTGCTGTCAGGTCCCGCGCGAGCTTCTGCTCCTGCATATCCACCTCACCTGATGGAGTGCACTGCGACAGGCTACTAACCCTCAAGGTGCAGCGCACTGCACTGCCGATGCATCTTAGTAGCGTCTGTCTTTGCCTGGAACCACATTGGCGTTGCCCAACATGGCTAAAGTCTGCAAGTTCGCGTGCTTGGTCGCCGTACTTGCTATCGAAACGAGGACTGCCGTTCACCGCTAGAAGTGTTGCAGCTATAGCTTGTCCCAACGTGTTCGGGAACGCTATAAGCTTGCGGAGAGGAAAGGCCAGTATAAGAAGTTCTCGGTAGGTCTGTTGGCACTTCCTCTTTTCGCCCACTCTCTGCATCAAACCTACCACAATCGACATACCAGCAACAAAGAACTTCAATATGGCTGCCCACACCAAGCTCCACAGCAAGGCCGACTTCGACAAGGCCCTCGAGACCAAGGGCCGATATGTGCTGATCCACGCCCACTCTGGCAGCGTCAACCCCAAAGCCGAGGAGTAAGTCTGCTGTTCAAAGCTAGAGAACGCATCGTCCCGTAAAAGCTGACGGGAAGTTTGTGCAGGTTCGCCGCGAAGTACAAGAACAACTGCGACGCCTACTCTGTGGATGTTGAGGAGGAGCCCAAGGTGAAGGAGTACTTCGGCATCAGCGAGGTCCCAGCGGCCCTGCTCTACATGGATGGCAAGCAGGTGGAGAAGGTTGAGGGCAAGGGTGCCGGCATTGAGGTTATTGAGAAGCTCCTTTCGTAGGCGCTGCTAGGTCAGGCTTGCTCTGAGATATCAAAATGAAGTCTCGAGGATGGTGTTGAAACACTCCATGTTCCAAAGAGATACACTGTTGCTGTTCCTCTGGCTTCCGTCAAGTAATCGCGTCGGTCCGGTAGGTGACAGCACCATTGTCCTGCCGTGAGTTATAGTAGTAGTACGATAGCTCCCAAGAAGGGCGACCCGCAAGGTGTGCACCTGTAACGCCATTAAAGATGGTCTTATAAGCGGCCAAGAATTGGAGGCTTGTTATGAACTATATTTCGGCGATGTGAGTGTAGCTATCGCTGGATATACAGTAAGATGAGTTTTGCACACTGTATGAGGCTTCGGTAATTGCCGGCAACGGGTCATTTTGGTCTCATCGCCATCAAACGCCGAGTCGTCCCGACAAAATCCTTGGCTGCAGTACCTCCACCTCTCCAGTTTTCACCCCGAACAGGATGCCACACATAGCGGAGATCATGAGGAAGTGGACAGGGTGGGTATTGGCGACTCATGGGGTTCCCAGGGATGAAGAATAGTCGGGCATGATCAGGTGGGCTCCACGAGCCAACAACGTGAGCCCCTCACACAGCCAAGGACACTTTCGCCAGGCCAAGAGCGGCAGGCTCTTGGGAGCAATGACAAGAGAAGAGAAGAGATCGGAGGCGTACCACAAGCCTGCGACTTCTCGACGCCCAATCTGCTCGCAAATCAACCTCATGACTGTGGATGAACTTTTCCACGACCACACTCGATAAGTGATCCGGACCACGAGAACCGTGTTGCGAACATGGATCGCATATGTGCGTACTCTTGAACGAATCGAGACGAGGTTGCTATCAGGGAGTATACTTAAGTATTACCGCCAAGTGCTCGGCGGAGGGGAGAACAGATGCAACCATCTCGATGACGGAGAGCGACCAGGGTGGTACTGTCGCACGAGCACGACCAGCTATAAAGATTAGTTGTCTCCCGACGATGTAAGTGGAGGCCCTGAGTTGTCACATCCAATCCTCCTCCAAGCTCTGTTTCATAATTTCGCTCTCTCTCCATACCACTTTTCACCCACTATGGAGTCTACGGGCAAAGAGGCAGAGCCAATCGCAACAGGTGCTTTTGCTACAGCGAAACAAAGCTTTCGCGATTTGTTCAGATGGGAGCAGCGAGTCGAGATCTTCAATGAGTATGGCGAGGCTCGATATGAATGGCAACGACCCAAGCCTCTGAAGAACCCTTTCTCGCTCTTCGCACAGCTGTCGAAACAAGGATGGTTGTTCTTTCTTGTTGGTTTCGCATCATGGACAGCAGATGCCTTTGACTTCCATGCGCTCAGCATCCAGACGACGAAGCTCGCGGACTATTATCAGACGTCGAACACCAATGTGTCGACGGCAATCACGCTGACTCTTCTGCTGCGCTCGATCGGTGCCGCTTTCTTTGGTAGGCTTGTCCTTGAGGCTCAAGCTGTATTCGACATTTGCTGATGTGTATCAGGTTTGGCTGGTGATCAATTTGGCCGCAAGTGGCCCATGGTTATCAATATGCTCGTGCTTGGACTGCTTCAGATCGCCACGATATACAGCGCAACGTTCCAGCAGTTTCTCGCCGTGCGAGCCCTCTTCGGGCTGTTCATGGGCGGAGTCTACGGCAACGCTATTGCTATGGCTCTCGAGAACTGCCCGGTTGATGCTCGTGGTCTGATGTCGGGTATTCTGCAACAAGGTTACTCATTCGGGTAAGCATATCACACCCTTGTGCTCACCAACATATGTTTACCAAAACTCAGCTACGTCTGCGCAGCCTGCGCCAACCTCGGTGTCGGTGGCGAAACCGATACCTGGAAGACCGTCTTCTGGATTGCAGCAGGCCTCAGCATCGGCGTTGGCCTTCTCCGCATCCTCTTCCCAGAGAGCAAACAGTTCGTTGAACGCAAAGCACAGGGCCACAAAGGTGCATCGCCAGGTGTGTTCTGGCTGGAGACGAAGACCATGCTGAGGAAGGAGTGGAAGATGTGTGTCTACTGCATCGTCTTGATGACGTGGTTCAACTACTACTCCCACACGAGCCAGGACAGCTACACGACCTTCATGCTCGACCAAAAGGGCCTCGACAATACTGGGGCTTCGGTGGCGAGTATCCTGATGAAGACTGGTGCCTGTGTTGGGGGAACTCTCATCGGGTACTTCAGCCAGTGGTTTGGACGTAGGCGATCAATGGTGTGTGCGGCTTTCATGAGTGCCCTCCTTATTCCGGCCTGGATATTGCCAACTACCGAGGGAGGACTCTCGGCAAGCGGTTTCATGATCCAATTCTTTGTGCAAGGAGCCTGGGGTGTAATCCCGATCCACTTGAACGAGCTGTCGCCGCCAGCGTTCCGGTCGAGCTTTCCTGGCAGTAAGTACAAACCTCAACCATATTCAGCTTCGTATACTAACGATATGCAGTCACATATCAGCTCGGCAATATGATCTCCTCCCCATCAGCACAGATCGTTAACGCTGTCGCCGAGTCCCACCTCATTACTGTCAAGGGCGAGAGGGTCTCAGCGTACGGCCCAACGATGGGCGTCGCAACTGCCATTATCGCCTTCGGTATCATGGCCACTGTATCCGTTGGTCCGGAGAAGCGCGGCAGCCGCTTCGAGAGTGCTGTCATCGGCCAGAGCACGATGGCTACGAACGTGGCAAAGGTCGATGATCTCGAGAGAGGCAGTGTTGATGAGAAGGCTGGACAGCCGCAGACGATCGAGGCCGAGAAGAAGTGAGACCAGCACTAGATGTAGATAGCCGAACAGTAAAGAGATATTGTCAACCATGTTGTTCGATCCACGCTTGTATCAAACAGAAGTCGTCGGATCTTCGTCCCCGATAAGTCCGCTTAAGACCTCCCTTGCTCATATCGTTAGTATCGGCCACCCCACGTCATTCCGATTCCTCAATGCATGACGTTCATTGTCCACGCTTTCGACGCCGTGGTACCCCGCATTCTCAAAGCATATATTCAATTTTTTAAAACCTGCTTTCATGAATTCAGGCTGTACGTCCAATCACAAGCAGTTCGATCAAAGTACACCTGCTTACTGTCATCCAGCTATGGTCTAGTGGTATGATTCTTGCTTTGGGAGTTCTCTCGAAACTGCAAGAGGCCCCGCGTTCGAATCGCGGTGGAGCCCTGTATACATCCACCAATGTTGTATCTTTTTGTCAGTTCCATCGTTCAATTGGTTGGAGAGATGGTGTGAGCGGCATGGGGGCCGCTCCAGCTTTTTGAGTACGAAAGAAGGTGCAAGGAACCCACTGGCAACGGCTTTTTCGATCCTTGGAACTCCATACCTTAGGTATCTTTGCTGGAAACCTTTGGTCGAATTTCGGCAGAGTATCCTCAAGGAAGCCTCAAGGCTGTTGACAAGAAGATGCCAGTACACTCGTAGTAACGAGCCTCTCATACACAGCACAAGTAGACCTGAGAAGGGGGGCTGTTTTCTTGACGGAAGTAATATCTGTGGTAACCCCATCTTTTGGATACGAAGTATATGGCCGCACGAGAGAGCACTGATGCAGGTTCAGGCGACAAACCACAGTATGAAAGGATAGACTAAAGATACCACGGATGTCCCTTGAAACCCAGATATGAGGAGCAGTGCGGCCTCTGGAACATGGCTCACAATTAAAAAAGAAAGTAAAAAAAAAACAACGCCAGGCTCAACAGCGTTGTGCTTCATCTACAGACCAATGTCCGGCTATTACCGCTATATCCCAAAGGACAGCAAGACTTTGATAGGTTGGTCTCTCGTCCAGTATTGTAAAGTATCCCGGGCTAGGGTTGCACTGGGGGATGTCCAATGCCTGGCATTCATAGCGCACAGCCGGCTTGTGCGTTCGGCCGAGAGGTTGGTGCTGGTTAAGTCGTCAACACCGAGACAAAGCGTAGTCAAGAGAGCGCCCATAAATCAGGATATTCTGGAACGTGGTGCATGAATGGCATGGCGGCCGTCGGCGAGGTGCGGATGAAGTATAAGGCCCGAGTTGTATCCTGGGAGGAAGCACTCAGCATATAGGTCCACAGTGGCGGGCAGCAGTTGTATGGAGGATGATCGGTAGCAGTATTGCATGTCATGGGACGAGGTGAGGTCGAAAAGCACGTGATGCTGTGGCAACGGTATGTGGCGCAGTTGACGCATGTGACAACATGTTGCGATGTCAGTTCAATGGGAGCTGCCCCTGATCAATGAGGTGAGGTTGCGAGCTATCTACGCCCCTTGACCTCTTCCCTCTTCCCGCATCTTCATACTCCACGCAACTTCACAACACCGCAACAACGCACGGCAACAATGTGCTGGCTGTCAACCGGCGGCTGGCTCAAAGTCTGGACGAACGATAACGAGGAAGGTTACATCCGGACCCGCCGTGGTCGCTCGACTACCATCAAACGCACAGTTCGTTTTGTGGATGATTCTCCGCCTCCGAAGACAAGGTATGTGATATATGATGCCTTCCCCAGTGACAGCAACAAGGCCACGGTGGGCGGCGGCAGGTCGGTTGGCGAAGCGTTGAGGACGGGACGCATCTCAGAGGATGATGAATACACCTGGGAGTATGTGCCCGCGACTGGGGATGAGCGCATGGTGGTACCGTTGAAGTCGGCGTTGAAGAAGACACAGGTCAGTTCACTTCCTTTTTCGCTCCTTCCCTTTTCGTCGTTTCATTTGCTCGGTGGCGAAGTGCCATTGGTGGAGTTGCTGCAACACCAACGTCATCTTATGACACCGCCTCATTTCACTTCCAGCACATGACCAAAACTTCTTCCATCCTCACACCTTCACAAACACATCAACCTCATCTTTCAAACTCACACCCAACACTCACCCCCCAAACCACCACCATGTCCGCCACCACAGCTTCAGACTACGAGCACTGGCCCGACGACTCCACCATCATCTCCAGCACCACCGCCACCGTCATCTCAGGCTACGACAAATTCAACGGTCTCCGCGAGTGCGAGTATGAACCAGCTAACGATGACAAGCCCGCAGCCAAACCCGCGCCCAAGGCCAACGAGAAGAAAGTGAAAGTGAAGAAGATCGAGATCCCACCGGCTCCCGAGTTCCCGGCTCCAGCATCACAGCAGCAAGTCCAGTATGCCCCACCACCGCAGTACGTCCAGTACGCCTACCCACCGCAGATGCCGTATAGCTGCTTCCCGAGCTACATGGCCCCCGCACCGGCGTACTACGGACTCCCAGCACCGCAGATGCAAATGCAGTCGCCGTACGGTCTGCCGCCCGGTTACGTCCTCGCTCCGGTCCCTGTGGGTGCAGTCGCCGCTGAAGAGGAGATGAAGGAGGGGCCACCGAAGAAGGAGAAGAAAGTTAAGAAAGCGGAGCCGATGAAGTGGCAAGGCCGTACCAAGGCGGAGGTCGAGGAGGACAATATGAAGATTGCGGCAAAGGAGGGTGTGTATGAGAAGAGGGTGGTGGAGCCGGTGGGGTTGGAGGATGATCAGCCGGTGTGGGTTGTGCTTGGGGATGGGAGTACTACTTTGAGGTAAGTTGACCCATCTTCCACGTTCAAGGTACAGTTTTGCTGACCGGGAATTATTACTAGGCTCTTTGCGGAGGCGAAAGAGATGAAGGGGGAGTGGCACGAGGATCCTAGGTTCAAGCGGAGCTTGTATCTGGTGTGCGAGCAGGAGAAGAAAGAGGAGAAGGGTGGTAAGAAGAAGGGCGGCAAGGGCGGCAAGAAGGACAAGAAGAAGGACGAGGAGGGTGGCGAGGATGAGGAGAAGAAGTGCACTTGCGGTGGCAAGTGAGCACTCACGCATCGCGAACGTTACTCGATACTTCAAGCTTGAGCTTGTGGGATTGGGATACTCACATGGTTGGAGAGGAGAAGGAGCTGACAGCAAACGCGATGCTGGCGTCTCCATCAGCAAGCATGAAACATCGACTGGGAAATGATGCCTAGCTTTACCCGGCCACATTTTTGGTCGCATAGCAGGCAATGAGAGCTCGTCGTCGATAGAAGGGACAGCTCAAATCTTCAGAACACCACATGCACCATCCTAGCCGTCGTATTCGTGATCGTAGGTCTCCTTATCCTGGATCGCCCATGCGCACTGACAGAGTACGCCGATCCGTTCATCCTTCATGTTCGCTTCTCGAGACACCCTCTGTCCATATCATACCTTGACCTGGGGCTTGCCACTCACATCTTCTCCCCCTGAATAGTAGCAACAATCCGTCGACTATGCTTCGCCGCCCTAAACTCCAAGTACCAAATCCCCTGCCACGTCCCCGTAGCCAACCTCCCATCCGTAATCGGCACACTCACGCTCGCCCCCACAAGCGCACTCTTGATATGCGCCGGCATGTCGTCCTCACCCTCCGCATCATGCCGATACAAATCCCCCTTCTTATCATACGGCGCTATCCTTTCCAACGCCTCTGTCATATCCGCCCGGACATCGGAGTCGTAGTTCTCGTTCAGCGATAGCGCACACGAGGTATGTTGGATGAAGAGATGCAATATCCCCACTCTATAGCTCTTGATCTCCGGGAGTTCTTTGAGGATAGTGTCGGTGATTAGGTAGGAGCCCCGGGACTTCGAGGGGAGGGTGAGGGATTTTTGGAACCAGGACATCGTGCCGGAGGCCGCTGTGCCGGTGGTGGGTGTGTCGGAGGGGATTGGGAGGGGTGTAGGTGTAGGACAGGTCGCTGGGGGACAGCAGGCGCAGGTTGGGTAGAGGGAGGCGGCGGGTTTGGGGTAGGCGAAGTCGGCGCCGAGGAGGCGGAAGGGGAGGAGGAGGGGTTGGAGGAAGAGTTGGAATAAGGAGGGGAAGAAAGCGAGGATGAAGATTGAGAGGAAGATTAGGGTGTTGCGGAGGGATGTGTCGGGCATTAATGGGTGGAGGTGTGGTTTGGATAAGGGAGGTTGTGGTGGATGTGACGTCAGGGTTCGAGGTGGGACTGCCCTGGTGGCTTCAATGCATGTGATACTTAGTTTACACATGTACATGTAAGAGCGATCAGCTTCTACCGATAAGAGACGATTTCCGAATGAATGCCACAATCGAACATGGTTGACAGTTATCTCATGTAAAAGGATGATATTGTTTGCGTGCTGGGTTTCGATGATTGATACATATGTACAACAGCCTGCTCTACATAAGCAGCGCGAGGTCTATCTATTCTCCAACGGCACACCAGTAGGTGTATGAAACGCCTCCGTCGATCCACTCCTCCCGCTCGCTTGGTCACTCCGCGGTATCTGTGCTGGCATTTGCGAGGGTGAGGTTGGCTCCAATGGGTACTCGGTGAAAGGCAAGCTTTCGAGATGTTTACGGTGCTGTTCTTGTGCCTGTATATCGTTAGCGATTCACTCCAGTAGTACCGGGTCCTTGCATAGCACTTCTGAAGGCGAACGTACAAAAGGCAGCCCGCAGTAAGTGCACATGCAAATCTGTGGCTTGTCGGTATTAATGAAGATTCGAGGATGCCCTAGTGGTCCACCACCGCCATCGCACGAGACGATGCGCTTCTTGGTCCAGCGGACGGGTTGTTGGTGGATCAATTCTATGGCTGCCATTGGTCGTGGCTTTCCACATCACTCGTTAGCACTCTCCTCTCTGCCCCAAGCAACTCGTTGCCAACTCAGTCTTCAATCGGGGGATTGGACGCACCTGATCCTCCATAACCGTCTGCTCGAACCGCGGCCCCATCATCGCCGTCGCCCGCGGCTGCTGACTCCTACTCCAGATCCCCGCCCGATTCGGTGCCTGCATCGTCCGCTTCTGTTCTCCCTCCTCCGGGTCTTCCACCAGCGCTCGGTCCTCCGCGCCCATTGTGGTCATGGGCAGGGCATTGGTGGCGGAGGTCGAGCGCGGAGCTTCGGTGAGGTTCGTCGAGGGGTTGTTGGCTGGGATGGGGTTGTCGGTTACCACTTGTTTGGTGCTGTAGAGGCGGGGTTGGCGGAGGAAGGAGAGGAGGCGGAGGGGGCGGAGGGGCGGCATCGTGGTGGTGGAGTGGTGGAGGGCAGAAGATGGAAGGTCGGAGGTGAGGATGAAGCTCGACATTGGGCTTGGCGTTGTTAGCGCGGTTTTGGACTCGGCCTTCCTTGGTGGCACCTTCCATCCTTCAGACCTCAGTCACGACATGCCCTCACTTGTCTCGAGCTC